GCATTCCACCTTCCTTTGTTTCTCCCCATGGGGGGTAGCTGGTCAGACAGGTTTGGAGCCCCCTTTGCATAATGACCAGACAGCAGAGGTCGTCACAGCCTTAGCAAGTTACCCCCACTACGTCACAGTCCTCTCGTGGGATGGAGGAGCCCGGTGCAGGCTGAGCTGTCAGCGGCCGTTCCGAGTGCGCTCAGTGCCTGGCACATGGGGAGATCTCTCTGCGTGGGGGGCGGGGCCACAGAGGATGCTGGCAGTGAACAGATGAGCAGGGGGAGGTGGGTGTGCGGTTGGGCCTGCTCCTAGGGTCACAGGTGAGCTGTGTCTGGGCTGGGCACCATGGCACAGCTGGTGCGGGAGGGTTTGGTGAGCAGGGCGGCTGGCAGGCTCTCTGGCTCGGGCGTTGCTGGGGGTGTGGGAAAGGGAGTCTCTCGCGAGACAGGGCTGGGCAGGCCTGGGAGGGTCCAGCTATCTGGCGCTTCTCCCTAGGGTCCGCCTTGCCGGCGGAGAGGTTGAACTGACTGGAATCGAGGCCAGTGAGTGCCCAAGAGGAGGGCAGGGCAGGAGAGCTGAGAAACAGGCATGTTTGTGCTGTGCTGCAGCTCCTCTCCTCAGGGCTGCCCCGTCACCACAGGGCAGTGCCACACCCCTGCAGGCAGACCCGCCGCGTGGCGACCCACCCGACGGGCAGTGTGCACAGGGCTGCGCCTGGGTCGTTTGCAGTGGGGAGAAAACGAAGGGCAGCCCGTTGTACAGAGAGCCAGGGGTCTGTAAGTGGCTCTTTGCGCTGCCCTCCCCCGGCCAGCAGTGGGGCTCCCGGCTGCTGGGCAGGAGGCAGCGTGAACTGGTGCATCCCCCAGGGGTTCCCGATTGCCGAGCAGCTGGGGGTGCCCTCCGACCGGCTTCAGCACTGCTCCCGGGTGCTCCTGTGCTGGACAGTTCCCAGTGCACACTGGACAGCGGAGCAGCTGCTGCAGCCGGCCGCTCCCTGCAGAGCTGGGGCTGTTACAGCGGCAGGGGTCTCCCCTCG